ACACTCTGTATACCTAATAATTATTTAAATTAAAAATTCCTTTATTGTAACCTAATATTTTAATACTTTAATTTATTCCCTAGAAAAGAGACTGCAAAAGAAGTTTGATAGTCTCTAGAAATTCACAAAAGGTGTTCCACTTAAGTTCTCGCCATAATCACGTGTACCCCTTGCAATTATTTAAACTCCCTTTAGATACTCTTTTAACCAAAGTCAACTGAAATTATCTAAATGGAACACCCTGTATACCTAATAACTATTTAAATTAAAAATTCCATTATTGTAACCTAATATTTTAATACTTTAATTTGTTTCCTAGAAAAGAGAGTCTATTCTCGCAAAAGAGGTTTAGCAGTCCCCAGGAATTCCAAACTGGAATAATAGTTGGAGTATTCGAAAGTGTAACGCGATTTGACTAATTTTAACCCCATCGACAGGGTAACGAGTGGAAACCCTTTTTTCCCCTATCGATTCGATAGAGGATTCGATAGTCTTCCAGACACGGTCGACGTGGAAACGGAGAAAAGAAGCGTTTGTTATCGACAATTCGACGACGTATAAAAATTCGTTCTGTCCGAGAGAGATTTTGACCGTGGCGTGAGCGTTAATGGAATCAGACGGACAGTGGCTTTTTTCCTCTCTGACGATCACAGCGGGGAAAGAAGACTCGTTAGAACAGATTTTGACTGTGAGCACAAAGCCTTCGGTACTTGACCAATTGGAACACAGGCTCTGTTAGGCGAAACCGATTACTGGTATCTCTCTCGTGGTCCTCCTCGTTCCAGCCTTTTCAGAAAGCTGTCTGACAAGGGTACCCTGAAAAGGTATCCTGCTTTGGTCCGGTGATTATGGTCCCCAATTCTGTTCGTGCATTTTGTCAAGATAAATATCCACCTTGTTATCCGATTTATAAAAGCTTTTATGAGCAACTGCTTGAAATCTAACTTCTTAAATAAATTTTTTAAAATAAATTTGTTCTCGAGGAGCGACAAATTAGGAATAATTCTATGCGTTATTTACGTACGATTTCTTATTACGTGTTTTGAAAAATATCGTTCACTTTGTACAATAGCAGAAAATTTTTGAACTGATATATTTCTGCAGAGTTCACAGAGAATCACTGAGTGCAAAGAGTTAAATTGGAAAAATGTTCCTATTTAATTTTCTATTCACCAGAGAAGCTAATGAACATTGTTACTCCTAATTTAGAAATAAAGATTTATAATGTTCTTCAGCTTCTCTGGCAAATAGAAAATTTTGTGGAACGCTAAATTTAGCAACAAAAATAATAACCTAGTTGCTTCGTACTTTCGTGGAAACCTTATAACAATCTTCCATGAAACCCTGGTTGAGAACCGCTGCTCTAGATATACTTATCTAACTTCTACAAAATTTTTCCAAATTAATTCTAAGGATACGATACACTAATTTTATCGATAGTATAATAGATAAGTTCTCTCTTATGATTGGAGACCAGTATATACACAGTGTCTTATTTAATTTGGTACAAGGAAAAATTTAAAGAAAGCAGTCTATCACTTGCCATATATATATATTACACTTGCTACGATTTTACCAAAATCCCATAACACATTTTCAGTATCACAGGTACGTCTTGAAAGCCTAAATACCCCACAAATACTGATAACAATTAAACCTTCGATAATAAAAAATATTTCTTCGATTTCTCCTCGGACAATTTTCAAAAAGTTCCAGAGCAGCATCCCAAAATCAGATCATCTCGATAGATACCAGAGTTGATGGTCGTTTTCATCTTGGAACGACTTCGACCACTCTTGGAGATCCTCGAACCACGACCAAACCGAGATCGATACCTGTTGGAGAAATTTAGGTCGCGAGACGAGGTAGGGCTTCGTATTTGTAATCTCTGTTGCACGATTATCCGCGATGGAGCCGTACGTTCATTCCCGGGATCGGGCTCAATCGTCACGATCGCGGGGGCATGCTAAGACCCCGGGAAAAGAGAAGGAAGAAAGGACCGGCGTCGGTCGTCGAGTCGACGTCCGTGAAATCGTTGCTGCCTGGACAGGGCCAATAAGAACGAGCGCTATATTACCGGCGCGATATTGCGCCTCGCGCGAGACGGGATTGCTCGATGAGCCGGACATATCGAGAAATATCGAGAAATATCGAGGCCCGCGCCGCGGACGTTTAAAAGACACTCTACTCGCGGCACGAGTATCCACTTATCCGGCTGTTTATTTCCAGGGAAAAAGCGCCGGCAACTTTTCCAGCCGAGATTTTTCAACGAGGGAACGGGGAGTCCCCGACGAGGTCGATACGAGACAAAGGAAAACGAGCCGAGTTACCGATATGCTACGGTCAAGTGGCTTTCTACGTTTTGTGCCCGTAGTTCGATAAAGGTTAGTGTGTTCCTGCTCTGTGTGTATGTGTGAGTTTTAAGTTTGTTTTTTTTCTTTTTATTTTTTTTATTGAGCTTCGAAGTATTCGATAGGGATTTTGTTGTTATTGTACGAAATGGCAATTTATTTTAGTTTATTTTTCCATTCAATTTGGTTCACTCTTTGCAGTGGAGTGACGAGTTTAATTCGACATGAGTTATTCGTGTCAAGTTTCATGATTATAGACTACACATACAAAGAAACGTGTAAATATTTGACCGAAGAATTTAACTAAAAATGTTATTTTTTAAACGTATTATTTATTTAGATTTTTCGCAAATCCGTTTACGTAGTCAAATTCGTTATTAAAAAATAGGAAATTCATAAATTTACATCATTAGTCTACCTCCGATAGTTCGCGAGATATTCGACCAGGTATAACTAACCCTTACAGACCCCTTTGAAGTCCGTTTTCACCCCTTCAACGTGGTCAATAGCAGATGAAAAGAATACAGATCGAATGTCTTTGTCTACTCGACGTTTGTGCCAAATTTCATCAAAATCGGTGACTAATTCGTTAGGCAAATAATTATGGAAAGGCCGCATCTACTTCGATAAGTAGTACGAGTCAACGCGTGGTCGGAAGAGTAGCGTACGTCGCAGCAAACGGGATAAGTAGAATGAGACGGTGTTTGCACGGGCACGCCGTGCTTATACAGACAAGTGGAACGAGAGTGTGATTGTTCAGAAAGACAGACCGAGATTGTCCCCTAATGTACGATAATAAATCCACACACGGTATAACTACTCCGTAATTTATATAACCTCTCAAAATAAATTCCGTATATATATGTTCAATGTTCCCCTGTATCTCTGCTATTAGAAACGACCGCTTTTCAATTCTTTCTCTTTTCGAGCAAACTAAATTACGCGAAATATCCGTGGACAATCATGAACAGGGCATCAATTGCCGCAAACGGAACACCGGTCGAACACCTGTACCACCGCCGCATTACAATACTGGTTCAACACGAACCGCATATTAAGCGCGCGTATCAGGATCCATACGGGCGGCCACTAACGCACCTCTGCGCATGCGCGCCACGCCGACCGAGCACCGCGGAAACTTCGAACCGGCCGTAACGCCGCTTAATTCGCCCCGTAACTTTTTCCTTTTTTTCCCCCGTGTCTGGGGTCGTTTCGAAGTTACGGCCTGTCCCAGTTCCACCGCGGATGCTTCTCTATTTATAACGCGGACGCCGCGAAGAAACAGTCGACCCGAAAACTTCATTCAGACGAGTCGAATCGGCCAGTCCGGGACGGGCATAAATTTTGCACACGTGCTCGTCGGATCTGGTAAGGTGCACGCGACGTCGGAAACGCGTCACGCGGATTCTTCTCGGCCAACGGAACTCGCGTTTACGTATTTCGCCGCGGGCCGGTCGAAACCGTTCGTTTAACCATCGGTGGAAAAAGAGCTGGACGTTGATAACCGCCATTGTGAGCGCGTTGCGGAGCATTTACATGCGAATGGGAGCCAAGTGAGTAGGGCTGATGCATATGCAGCAGACGTCGTATCTTATACGATAGTTATTCGTCGCCGGTTATATTTGGTGGTTTATTGTCTAGAGATGATAGGCTTCGCGCCCCGGCGGCTCTGCACTTTACAATAGGATGGCGAGCGCATTTATTCCGTAGAAGTATGCGAGTTCTTATGGCGAATCGAACGTGATGAATCGGAATTTTTGAATTTCGAAATTTCGAGTTTTTGATTTATACTTTTTACCCACTTTTAGACAACTACTATTTTAATACAATAAATTTTTAAAAAGTAAAATTTCTTAGCTGCCCTTAGTCGACTATCGAATATTTAAATTTGTGTTAAAATTTTTGAGAAATTTTGAAATTTCGAATGCTCGAATTCGTATTTAAATTTTTGTAATGTAGGAATTTTTAGTGTACGAGTGTGCAATTAAATTATTGAAATTTTTAATGTTTGAATTTGCCTTAAAATTTTTTGAATTCTTCAAATTACGAATATTTGAATTCGTGTTTAAATCTTTCTGATTTAAGAATTTTTAATGTGCAATAAATTATTTAAATTTTAAAACTTTTAATGTTTGAATTTGCATTTCAATTTAAGAAATTTCGAAATTTTCAGGTTCCATTTGCATTTCAATTTTTCGAATTTTAAATGCACGAGTATGCAATTGAATTATTGAAATTTTGCTTTTTGATTTTTAGTATTTAAATTTGCCCTGCGATTTTGCAAACCTGAAATATTTGAATTTGCATGTAAATATTTTAAACCTCGAATTTTTTAACGTTAGAACGTGCATTGCTGTTTTGGAAATTTTTATTTTTCAATGCACCGGTAAATTCTTTTTCTACTTTATATCATAGGCGAGCGAAATGGCATGCATTTCAGACAAACGATGCGTCTCCTAGTATTTCAATAGAGAAACGGTGAACTTCGAGACACTGAATTATTTATGGCTTCCCCTATTTCTATGGTTCGACGGGGGTCCATAAACTGTGGCTGAACGTCAACGTCCATCTTGACTTTCCTCTATGATATAATAGCCGCGAACGGCGAAACGCGTATACCTTATTGTTGGATAGATTTATTGAACTTACCTGATATGAGCACCAACACTATCCACATGATCCCCACCAGGCTCTTCATCATGTCATTGTGTCACGTCCAACTCATTTCTTCTCGCCTTCGTGCTCTCCGGACCCTTCAGTTCTAGCACTGAAACAGGGAGAACGTTGTTCGATTGAGTGCAACGATGCGCCTTGAATAAACGCTTGCAATTAGACCTAGAACACGTTACCCCTTGATTTATGGCCGTTCTATACCAATCAATACGCCCATAGATTTTCTCCCCTCGAATATATTTATTTATTTATTTTTTACCAAAAATATACTTGTTTCACTATACCTTGCTGTACTTAAATGTAGGGTACGTATAGTAAAAGAAGCTGCTGGCTATGTTAAATTACCTAAACTGAATCTATACTAATTAGTATACTATACTAATTTAGTTTTGTCCAAAAACAGTTGCACATTTTTATTAATTGAGAATAGGAAAACCTGAAACCAGTCATTCTCATTGATCTGGTAATTTTGTTATTAAAATTAATATTATATTTCTTTTTTTTTTAAATTTTTGATAATAGTGTAAAATAATTAAAATAAAGACAAGAAGTTACTGTCTATATTAAATTACCTATACTGAATCTATACTAATTAGTATATTATACTAACTTAGTTTTGTCCAAAAACAGTTGCACATTTTATTAATTGGGAATAGGAAAACCTGAAACCACTCATTCTCATTGATCTGGTAATCTTTTTATTAAAATTAATATTATTTTTCCTTATTTTTTTTCTTTTTTTTTGATAATAGTGTAAAATAATTAAAATAAAGACAACGTTAATTTTACCAAGAATAATTGGTATAATTGTACTTTTTGGTAATTGTTATTTATTAATTATTTTCTTTATTTTCTTCTTGATAATAATTTAATTTGAATGAATTTTATTGAAATATTTGAAACAAAATTGAGGTTTCTTTTTAGAATTAATGCAGTGAATTTTGCCTACTGTATTACTCGTTGCGTTTCAGTGTATTCACAGACGAATTTTCTGTATTTAAGCAAAGCAAAATTATCTGCGTTTGATAAGTGTTCAGTTATACGTGTATGCCGGTATCAGTGATTAATCTCTGGTGGACATTGGTATGCAGCAGGTTCGAGGAGATACGCGATTCAATCTTCTTTCGTGTCAGTCCCCTATCTCTCAAATTAATTTTATCCGAGCAAGCACGAAGGCAGTATTTCTTTTACAACAACGCTTCTTGACGAATGAGAGAATTTAAAACTTTTTAATCGATACCCGTTATTTGGTCCACTCGCGCCGTAGCTCGAAAATAAGCGCAGCAAGAAACACGAGTGAACTCGTCACCTGGAATACTAATACCTCCCGGCAACAATTTATCCAGCCATAAATCTCCCTAACGCGACATTACGTTTCTATTAACTCATTCGCGTCGCCTCATTTTCAGCCAAATGTTACGTGGGCGATGAGAAAATTTTTTCGTAATTTCGCGAAATTTATGAAATGTATGCGAATACATTTCTGGAGAAAAATTAAAATATTTGTCATAATTTATCAATTTAACACTGAACAGGGTGAACAGTGTGGTAAATAGTCTGAAATCGACACGATAAAAATAAATTTTGCAATCATAAATCGACTGGAGAAAAATAAATTTTGTATTATTAAGATGACTCGATTAAAAATAAATTTCGGGATTTTAATTCGACTCAAATAAAAATATATTTTGGAATTTTAAATTGACTTAATTAAAAATATATTTTGGAATTTTAATTGACTCAATTGAAATAAATTTAGGAGTGTTAAATCTACTCAATTAAAAATAAAATTTTTCTTGGACAACTTTCACAGAGATAATTAATAAAATTTTCTATTAAGGGACCAACTATCAAATAAAACTTCATAAACACTCACACGCATGCTATAAGTTATCTCAATGTTTAATTTTACAATAAAAGATACTCGCAATACAGAATAAAGGACCCTAAATTCAACATCAACTCGACACTACAACTACCAAGAGTACAAAAATAACTCATTACAGAAATTTCATTTTCGCAATTTCCCAAACCAAAACTAATATCACTTTTACCAGAATTAATTCTGAATCTACGAAACCATCAATTTTCGCCCTAACGCCACGATTATAAACACCCACATATGTATAACAAATTCAGTTACTCACTGTAGTTGCAGCGTCAACAATTACCCCTGCGCAACTTTCAAGGGATTTATATCAATCATAAGGCGAACGATTACGCGATTTCGGATCCCGGGTGCAATTTTCCCGTTGGATCTCGTAAATCTCTCTTAGTTAGGCGGGCGGAAACGCGATGGTGTATCTCTTGAAATATCGTGGAATCTGCAACTCGGATACATAAGCAGCTTCTACCCCTACCATCTACCAAACCATTGTACGTTCCCGTCGAAACTTTAGAAGCGAACTCGAAAACTCGGCAGCCGGGTCTGGTGGATTTTTCTCGGCGAAACCTGAAGGAAGGAATGCAAAAGTAATGTATCCGATCGCTTGAAGAAAAGGTGACACGGTCTGGCATTCGTGCGAGGCTGTCCCGGCCACCCCCCGCGAACAGAGGGCGGAGGGTCGTAAAGCGAAAAATGAAACGGATCAACGACCCCGTTTTTATTATTCCGCCATCTTCGTTGGGGTATTTATCGGCGATGTTTCGAAATTTGGATATTAGACGAGGGGGTATAAAAATGGCGTAAAACGAGGGTTAAACGCCGGAATTTCGGACGAATGTCGGCTTTAATTCGAGAGAGCTCTGGGTTATGGCGAATAGCAGTGTCTCGAAGTTTGGGAACGGGTGATGCAGTGGAATGTTTCCTGCGAACTGAGAATAGAGCAGGCAAGAATTGTTGGATAAGAGAATTGGTTGGAAAATTGTAGATACCCCCCTTGTTTCTTGCTATAATAAATATATTTGAAAACGTTTTTTTTTTTCGAAGAATATTAAATATTGTAAATTATTGTATGATGTAAAATAACGTTTATAGCTTTGGGATATAATGTTTTAGTTATGTGAAAAATTAGGACCTTATTTTGTAGGCAGACGCTATTATTTTCTCGACTATAGTATTCGACATTTGCGAATTTAATTCGTGGAAGCCGTCAAAAATATTATCTCACTATTATACATTTAAAGGAGAGTGGATAGGAGAGTTATAATAAATAAAATTTCGAAAATGATTATAGTATATAATTTTCTAGCTATATGAAAAACTGAGGATTTATTTTATAGGAAGACGCCATCTTTTTGTCGATAGTATTCGATATTTGCGAATTTAACTCCTGGAAGCATGAAAAATAGAATTGATCCACTTCATAGCAGCACAGTCTCTACTATCAACATCGATACTCGCAAAATTAACATTATCAAAGATCACGATTTTTATTATTTCACTCTCCACTGAAAAATAAAAAGAGAACAAAAATCGCGATGTAGCATAGTTCAGTGGCGAACGCAGGATTTGCAGGTCGATTGGCCTCGGAATATCTCGAATTTCTTCGCGAGTTGCACGGTAAAAGGGGGAAAAAAATATGGGTAATCGATTCAACGCGAGGGTAAAATTCGCTGGCTCGGTGACGGTGGCACGATCGGTAATCGGTCCGCTCGATCCGTTTCGAGCTGCCGCATCGTTCCGCGCCACGTGGACCGCAGAACTGCGGGCTGCAGCCCGATGCGTTCTGCACGGCCGCAGCGTGCTATAGCGCGGATTCGGCGCGAGGTGGATCGCGGAGAGCTGGTGGATTTGTTGCCCACCGAGCCTCCACATTTTTTCCCTAGCATCCACTTACGTAACGCTGCGGTCACCGATTCTATTGTGCCAGGTATGACAGGTATGGTAAGCACGACTGCTTCGAATAGTAACCATGGCTGCGTCCAAAAGTCAGTCGAGTCTTCGAGCACCAGAGTTTCGACTTATGGAACGGTGAATTGAAATATTTGGCAGGATACAGCTGGAGTCAGTGGGGTGTTGATAACAGAGCAGAATGCCGATTTAACCCTTTGCACTCAGCGATTTTTTCGTTACAGGAAAATAATAATTCGAAGACTATCTGCCATAAAGTCGACGATATTTCCAAAATGGTACAAATAAGAAATCGCGTGTAAACTACCCTTTCAGCTCGATGGATCTTAGTGTTGCTCCAGTACTCCGTTTATTACCAGAAAATTAAGGGAAAATTCTTAGACTGTAACCAAAAAACAAATTATTGGCAAATTTGCGAGGATTATATCTGAGAATTATACACGAGTATTAAGACGAAGGAAATCTTGGATTAAGTCACCAGAACTTCTCTTTATTTATTGAAACTTACGAGCAAAGCCCTTTTTAATAAACTGATATAAAACATGCACACACGAAATAGGAAAAGCTATACAGCAGACGATAAAAGGTACAACACTATACATCAAGTTACATAGAAAAATTAAATTAAATAATAATTAATTAAATTACATAGAAAAATTAATTTAAAAAATTAAATTAAATTAAGTTAATTTAATTAAATTAAAATTAAATTAACGTAATAATAAATAATGCCACGAAATGGTGACAACATGTTGTTCTGTGGTTCCTAACAGTTTGAACAATTGTGCCTTAAAATTGATAATATTATTAGAAGAAAAGTTAACTTTTGTAAAGAAACGATGTTAGTATGTAATTAAAGATTTGTCGATAATGATTAGGTCAATTACGTGTAAGTACAAATGAGTACTATGTGTAGCATATTATATGTTGGATGACATGTCAGTATAATTATCACTATTATAGTATTTGAGAATATTCGAATGAAAGGAACTACTGTTAGTTACTCGCTTATAAAGCATTCTCTGTACAACCCTAATCTGTAATCAACGAGTAATTACATTAATTTTGGAATACGTCGTAAAACTTATTTTCATACCTTACAACAGTATATGTAAAATTTTGTATAGGTCAAGATTATAATTCTCCCAATATTCGAAATATGAAACAGAATTTAGCAGTTTTTCTTATGGGGTTCTTATGGGGTTCCCAAGTCTATTATACTTACTATAAGTAAGGTTTGTGTTCTCTGTATAAATCCTGTTATTAATAATTATATTGCAAACCATCGATGTTAAATCTTA